GAGAGAGAGAGAGAAGAGGCACAACAATAGACGCGTAACCCGGTGCTCCCGATGGGGTCGTAGTTGCGCGTATTTGCAATGTATCTGACGATGATAGGCCAGCACGGCAGGAAGAGATCGTCGTAGGGGGATCGCCATAGCTAATCGTACCACCCAAGGTGGCACAGATTGAAAGCTCTATCAGCACACATCCTCTCTTGACCTGACCACTATATATCTATCGTTCAACGTTCAACCGGTACGCGAGCACCTAACTACGCGCGTACAGTTTCATTAAAATCATATAGCTTCGGATACATTACTTCTCCCCGCGTGTTTACTCTCGAGCGCAAGCGCGCGCCTTTACCCCTTCTCTCCACGAGTGCGAGACTCGAGAAAGAGAGAGAGAGAGAGTCGGTCAAGAAGTGAAAGGTCCTGCTCCCTCCCATTACCTAATTGGTGTTTATGTTATACTCGCGAGAAAAATTGTTCTCTTCGAAAGTGTATAAACTCTCTAAAGAAAAAAGAAAAAAGAAATAGATATTCTTCTTTTGATATTGATATTGATTGAATAATCTTTCTTTTGATAATAATCCTTTAATATTATTAATAATATCGCACGATGAATAATTGTTTGATCAAATTCGTTTCGCATCAAATTGTAAGATTCAAGAAAAAGAACGAAACGAAAAGAAAGAAGAATACAACAAAATCATGCTCCTAGCTCAATCTTGTTTCTAATAATCTTATTCTTTCCGCCCTTCTCCTTCGAATGCGGGAACCAAGAAGTTAGAGGCGAGCAAGAGATCAACGTCAATCGACAAATTCGTCGATCCCTTTCCAGCCTCTCGACCCGTCCCCGCCGCCGCCTTCCCCATCAGGGCGCGATACTGCACAGCAGCCGCTTCCGGTTAACCGGAAGTGACGCTCTGCGCGAGCCGGTCACTACTACCGTATTTCGTCGGAATATTAATACCAAGCAAACGTAGACCACCACCACCACCGCTCCAGACAGGCATCATGGAAGTCGCCACTGAACTGTAAGTGTATGCTTTAGTCCTGATTCTTCTTTCTCTTAATTTTTTTTTTTCTTTCCTTCTCCATCGCCTCCGTTCCTTTGCTTCTTAACATCAAGATTCTTTGAATCTTTTTCTTTCATTGTAGAGTATATTTTCTTTTTTTTTTTATTCGATTACGCTACGCTTAATTTCAGATTTCGATCGATCGTCAGCTTCTTCTAGGATCTATCTAAGTAAATCGATCGAAATTACGCGAACCGACGAATGTTATTTCGATCTATTTCTAATTTTGAACGAGCTAATATAATTAATATAATCAAACATTCCGCAGAGTTTGCTGTTGTTGGATTCGTCGATTTAAAAAATATATATATATATATATATGCAGAAGACGCGGGCCCATCAAGACGACATTGACAGGCGGATGAAGTTTCTACTTCGGTGTGATTCAGATTGCATCATCGGTTCGGCTAATGAATTCGCGTAAAAGGATACACTTGCGAAACAGAATAGCGCGGTTTACACAGATCGTGTCTCCCCGTTGAATCTATTTTAAATCTCTTGAATTACGAATATCCCGTTCAAAAAGTGTTCCTTTCGATTTTTTGTTGTTGCTTTATTTTCATTTTTTTTCCCATTTATCCTAAATGTTACGTAAAGAATACGTAACACAAATGAATGACAGGAATGAATCGTGAATTTTGCAGGTCGGAGAGGATCCGACCGAATTGCTCGAGAAGCCCGTAATGTGAAAGTACAATTTGATAATTGCCGGGCCAGTTAAGTATAATTCCGGCCAATCTCCTCCAGAAATGCTCCACGTTACCTTTTATTCGATCAAATTTACGAATCTTCGTACCCACCATCGTTTTGAAAATATTATTATTAATTATTAATTATTCGAGGAAAGAAAGAAAAAAGTAATAAAGAATATCGGAATAATACCATTAGTAGTAAAAAATCTGCGAAACTCCTCGACATTTGAAAATTTCGTAACGCAGGCTAGAAGGCACGAAGCCGAAAGGACGACGACGCCCGGCAAGGTCATCGACAAGCGAGCAACAAAGACTTTCAAGAGTGATCAGCAGCTCTCTTGAGGCCTATTTAACGCGAGGTCGTTCGCCAAGATTCAATCAAATCAAAACGAAGATTACCGACCCCTTGGCCCGAGATCACGATAAATATATCGACGCTCTTTGCTTTGTTTCCGATTCGCGAAACAAACGGGAACAATATTCGGGTCGAGGCGAGCCGAGCGCGAGTTTTCGCAGTTACTGTACATAAAGGGGATCGCGTGTCGCTGTTTAATGTTGTCCACGTTGCTATGTTGTTATGTGAAAACTCGAGAGATCTCGAGATAGAAATTAGTCTTCGAATCGAAAGACTTTCATCATCTGAAAGAGTTGTGTTAAACGAGTTAAAATATTCTTTTGGATTATAAAAAAAAAAAATTCGACTGAATCGAGAGAATAACGCAAAGAAAAATAAGCTTGAGATAAAATGGGAAAAAAAAAAGGAATGAATAAGTTTAGGTCGATTGAATGTATAGATTTTTATTACTTTTCATTTCTCGTGTTTCATTAAATATTTAAGTAATATGTAATTTCGCGTGTCAGACAAGTTGACTGATTATTTAATTCGATTAGAATCAAACGTTACTCGCGCATGCTTGAATTAAGACGGAGCGAAACGTGTGCGGGGATATAATAACACAGCAAGGAGAAATCATTGCCAATCATCGTGCTTTCCTGTACACTCGCCATGCACGTACCTTTAAACGCTCGGTGTTCTACTAATTACGATTGGTAAATAACGTTTATTGAAAATCAATCAAATATAAAAAGTTTCAAAGATTAATTTCGACAAATTATGATATATTTTAGAGAAAGAAAGAAGTGGGAAGAATTTTTTTCCCCCATTTAAATTTTAAAGTTTATGAAAAATGAAATCTTATATGCATTATTACTTCTTGATAACAAATAAAAAAAAAAGAAAAATCAGAATTTTGTAAATATACGTACCATGTTACATTGAATGTTTATTTTCATAAACGTTATTTATTATCTGCCTAATATATATATTTATTAATAGACAATATTAATCATTTATGGCCTTCAGTCTTTCACGTGTCTTGAAACTCCATAAAAAGTTACGTTGCACAATTGTTGTTTCATATAGATTATTCATAGGATCTGTTAATACCAAGAATATTAAATATCGATTGATTATTATAATCAATCTATTTTACATTTTAAATATGCAAATATCTCATACTTAAGACTGAGGAGAGCAACTTTAAATAGCTCAAATGATTCAATTTATATAATCTATACAACTATGTAACTTGGCTTAAACAAGTGACTTAAATAACTTGTGTAATATAAGCAACTGGAAGAACTTGTGTTTATGTAATGTTTGGCAACTTCTCAACTTACAATCAATTACTTAATCAATTGTGAGTTAATATTGTTAAGAAACATTTTCCAAAAAGAATCGATATTATAACAATATCACATTCAGGACAATTCAATATTTTCTGTATAATATAAAATTCCAACCAAGCACGCATGCTTCTTAATTTTAATACACTCATAGAATTGAATACACGTATAAAATTCATCTCTTCACTTTCACACAGTGTAGTCAATGCCAGCACGTTCGCATATGGAAATTGATACATCTTGTGTGGAAAACGAACTGCGACTATATGTGTATATGCGTTTTAAAAAAACCCATAAATATAATATCGCAAGTCAGAAAAGTATCACAAGTTAAGATAAAAATGTTTTCAAAATAAATGCATACAACGCAAAAAGTGAAAAAGAGTCGGGTGATTTAATCACTATTATTTCTTTCCAGAAAATATAACGCAATTCCGTTCTATTTTTTTCCTTTCTAACAGCCGAGTCGATTGTCATCAACTAGTCAAACCGACCAAATTATCAAACTCGTTAACACCGTTAAGGGATTAACTCTCGTAATTAACCCCTTGAAAAAGCGAATCATCTTCTTTCGGTGGCTTCTCATCTGACAATTTTTCTTTTTTCTTTTTTTCCATTGATAATTTACTTGCATCGTGAGACCTCGTCCATCCAACATTCTATGCTAAACGTCACGTGTTTGCGACAACCGCTTCATTTGCAATTCATCTTGTACATTTTGTACATGATGTAATAGTAAAAAAAATCTACATTTTCCGATCCCAGAAGAGCTAATCGTTACTTTATTTACCTTTATTTTCCTTCGCATATCTTCCTTTGCATATATGATAAACGAATACTTTTAAAAATTAGAAAAACGTTCTTTTTTTCCCATACCATATATATTATATGTGTGTATGTGTGTGCGTGTTATTTTTAGGTCACCGCTGTCAGGATCGGACACACAATGCAAAATTACCGAACGAACCTCGTATTACCCTCAGGAGCCAAACAAGAGGCCGCAAACCAGGCAAGAGAAGGTTCGATCGTGCCTCAAGCATAACTCGTTGACGATATTGACTGTGACCGGTGTATTCGGCGGTGTGGTCCTCGGTATTATCTTGAGAAGCCTGCGAACTCAAGGATGGACGCCGCGCGAGATCATGTACATCAACTACATAGGAGATCTGTTTCTAAGAATGCTGAAGAGTTTGATTTTACCGCTTATCATATCCAGCCTGGTCTCGGCAATCGGATCCCTTGATCTATCATTGAGCGGGAAAATTGGTGTTCGTGCTATAGTGTATTACATGGTCACCACCATTAGCGCTGTTGTACTAGGTCGGTCAAGATCGGAAAGATCTTTCCGCTTATTTTCTAAAAAAAAAAGTAAAAGATAAAAATAGATCATTTTTTGTCGATATATAACGATTTCAGGTATCATTTTGGTAATCACTATCCAGCCGGGTGTGGGAAATAATCCTGACATAAGGACAAAAGAACGGTCTCAAAATGTCTCGACTATCGATACGTTGATGGACTTGATTCGGAACATGTTTCCCCCGAATTTAGTAGAGGCATGTATCTCTCAACATAAAACGGAATGCAGAAACCGGAAAACAGTACATCAGGTCCAAAATCTTTTTTAAAAAAATCTTATATACATTTCATAAAGAAAAAA